AAAGCAAAAATGTATATCGTCATATCATGTATATTTATTTATTCTTTGTAATACGGACATCATACTACGCATTCGTTACATGAAAACGACATTCTACAGCGTCGTACATAGCATTGACTATTCCAAACATGATCACTGAACGATGTTCTGTAAGTATTTGTCCAATAATAGTCGTCATATTGACATTGAGGCTGTTTCTGTTTTTTTTCATATTTCGTTTAACTTTGACACTGACTCGAAATAAAAATTAAATTAGTGTTTTGTCTTTTAATAAATTACTACTTTTCAATGACACCGCGTCTCTAAATTATCGTAAGACAGTCGATGATAATTATTTTAATAGCATATAGGCAAAATATGATTCATTATAAATCAATTATCACCTTGCAGCATAAGTGTCACCTGAATAAACATCCTGTTCCTCAAGACCCGCGTCTTCTGCCTGGGGCCATTTAAATGTCCAGGTAAAGGTGCTAATTATATAATCTTGTATACACATAGCCACTTCGAGGTATCGAGGGTAAATTCTGATAGAATATGCATAGCGGGACTGCATTTTGACTTCGAGGGATCAAGGGTTTCGAGAGATCAAGAGTTCGAGAAATCAAGAGTAAATTTGCTTAGTTATATAGTGGAAAAATTCGGGACCGGAGACTCACTTCGAGCGATCAAGAACTTCGAGAGATCGAAGTTCGAGCCATCAAGAGTTACCTGTATATTGAATGTGAATTTGCTTTAAAAAAAATCTCATTAAAAATATTGAATGGAAATATTACTGTTATTAGTCCCACCTTGCATTACATGTATTTATTTCTTGGAATTACAAGTTTAAAAAGTAGTTATCCAGAATGTGGACTTGTATTCCATATTATAATAACGTTTACAGATTGTCTGTACTATTATATTTTCCTGTGTATAGTAAAATCTCTTAATATTGTCCATTTTCTGTTATTAGTCTGACCCTATATTCAATCATGGCGGTAAATATCAACATGGCATGGATACCTTCGATATTTTAAACATTCAGCACTACTTTAAAACTCTTTGCACATGGATTTGGTGATAAAATTAAAGTATTACAAAATTATTTTTTGTCAGCGATGTCGGCGACATTTATTTTGTAATCGATTAGTAGCATCGAAGAGCTCCTAACGACCGACAATCGATCGTCGGCGACAATCGGTCCATCACTATCTTGAATCATCGGATAATTCAAAGTTTTTTCTTGGTCCCAATGATTTCCAGATACATGTAACAAGGTTTGATCGTTTATCATATTTATAATGAAATAAGACCTGGAGCCTTGTTTAGGTAAATCTACACAATGATGCTTTTCATATACTGTAAACCAACTTATATTCGCGTGCGAGAAATTTTCGCAAGGTTCGCGAGAGCCTCGTCATCGCGAATATTTCTTGCCGCCAACCGGTCTTTAAAGTCTCTTTTTCTATTAACAACAGATCAAAAAAAGACTTGATCGCGTAAATAAATCGTCGCGAACTAGTTTACCCTCTGTAAATCGCGAAATAAAGTCGTCGCGAATAAAAGTTGGTTTACAGTAACAGTTCATATATGTACTTTTAATACCTGATGTCAAGGATACTGGTTGGTCAAATTGACTTTATCTAATTTGTCATTAAACATGCAAGCAAGATGGAAAGAGTTTGTACATACATGAGAGAAGATCATTTTACAGGCCTCGGTGTCCAGAATATGAAGCCTCCCTGAAGAATCCCCCAGAATCATAAGCTCCCCATCTTCACTCAGGGCCATTTCTTCTATAACAGCATCTATGTGTACATCACATTAGATTTGTAATTAAAGTTAAGTCTTGTAATATTAATACAGTGGTTCCCGTTTTATCGAATAGTCAAGTTGTCAGTCTAGTTTTATCCGAATTGCTGAATATTAGAATAGCCGATTGCTCCATACCGAGTCCAAAGATAACTGTATAGAGCTACATGTATTGATAATACATCGTAGCAAATTTCAAACTTGCACTTTCGTTTTCTTTTGACATGTTTACTTAATGACTTTACTAAAAATAATTTATTTCACTTACTTATGAATTTAATATGAAATTTTTTTTCAAATAAATTGATGTATAGAATATATTCTTCGATAGTTATTGTCATCTTTCTTTAGCACATGTTTACATTCCTTCTTCGATGGTCGCCATTTTGGAAACGGAAGTAAACTAAATGCTTGACTAATAACCATAAACTATTTTTCCCTGGATAGATTGTAAATTAAAAATAAACAAAAATATTAAATATACGTAATTGTTTCGTTTTTATTTGTTTCTTTAATACGGTTACGTATTTTATACTGTGTGTGAGTTTACCAGTCTCGTACTTGTCTGCTGAAGAGAGATTTTGAGAGCCATGTGGAGAAAGATGGTATGAATTATGAGACGTATATTTATAGAACAGGCCATTTGTGATTTTCACCATAAATTTTGCACTGAAAAGTGAATAAATATTAAGCCAATTGACCAAGTTAAACGATTGAATAGGCTTATTTCATTATCCAAGCAAATTGTCATACACAAGCTAATCAGTTCAATAATTAAAATTTCACGCCGAAAAAATTGCAAATAATTGTCATAATTAACAAGTGCATCATTGAACCCAAGCTGATCACCACAACTGTAATCAAAACATATCTATTTACTATGCCCACTATTGACACAGGTAAGGTGCCTGTGTGCGTCCAGCCATAACTTATCCCCTCATTGTCGTACTCAAGCCAGTCAAGGTAATTGGTGTCAAACTGTGTAAACAAAGGCTTCACATATGAAGTTGGAGGTGTGAACAAGGTGCTGATTATCAATAAACACTATGATAGTCCAAATTTTTGTATCGGATAAAATGAAATTCCAATATTTTCTCATCAGAATATCAGGTGAAATTATTAATAAATATATAAGAAATGGTTTTGTGCTCTGATATTATATTGAAATAGCCGAAATATTCGTTTAACCGCTATCCGATAAAATGGAAGCCACTGTATAATAATAATAATAAAAAAAATAGCACTTTATAAGAAAATTTCAAGTGTGGAAAAGGGATCTTTAAAAAAATTGTGAATATTTATTGGGAGATGTATTGTGATACATAAATCTCTGACAGATTAAAGAATTTTTTTTATATTCTTAGAAAATTTGATTTTGTTTGTGCCTATGATTTTGAACTGTTAACAATCTTTCCACTCTGGTTCCTTTCCTTTACATAACATGGATACTTTCCTAATCAACATTTGGTCATAACATTTTGACAAGATATAGTCATTCTTTTTTAATATTTCTGAGCAAAGAATAATATAAATGTAGGTGGTGACTTTCAAAGTCAAAATGGAGAACTAATGGGCAGTGCCGTGAGGAAATTATTTGTTTTTGCTGTCTGAAACCCTGAATTACCTTGACTGCATATTGAAGATTAAGTATAGTAGCAGTATCACAAACAATTTATACTGACAGGTAATCTTAACTCACCGTAAGCCAGAGTGGTGGTGTGTTGACAATCAGTGAACACAGAGACATGTCTATCTACAGACAGGCAAGCTAATTCTCCTCTTACTGAACTCACAATATGAGGAACTTCTGTTTCCTACAAATATACAAAATATTATACCTGAAAGTGAATCCAACAAATGATGTAAATGACTGGATTCTTGTTGACAAGAGTGTAAAATATCTGTAGTTCTGAGATTGACCATTCAAATTTAAGTACAACATAAGTAATATCAATACAGAATATGACATTCTACCATCAGAAATTATAACTAATTAACTATCTGGTGAGTCTAACAAACAAACTCAATGGAAAGTTTTTCTTTACATATCTTCACTTGCCTTGTGACATGGGATATAAGCAAAGTATTGATCATCTAAGATTTGTAAAAGACCTCTAAAAATTTTAGTAGAATTGACAGACCTGCTTTCTACTTTCAGGGGCTAGGCACATACTTTTTTACCACAACTACCAATAAAAACATGCATTTCTATTTTTAGAGTGGTCAAAAAGTAAGGAGACAAAATAAATTGTGTCGAGCTCCTCTGTTCTACACTAAAAGTTAAACTAGACATCACTTCTGCATGTCAAACCTTTTCATGTGATGATATTGTAGCCAGGGTATCAATCTGGTACAGTGCTGACCCTGACTCCTCCCGCGGCCCAAAGTTGACCGTTTCTTCTCCCCCAAAATCTGAACTGACAATATCCCATGGCATTTTTCCTGAAGAGTTACAGGTGGTAAAATAAATGATGACATGAATAAAGACTTATGTACTAACATTTACGGGAAAATAAAACATAAGAAATTAACATGAATTTACGGTATCCAAATCCTGTTTTGAGTTTCTATAGGTAATCCTTTCTTCAAAGTCTATGCACATTGCACAAATAAATTTAATCAAGTTATAAACATATATCATGAAAAATTATAGATTGTGAACTACTATAAGTATTAAAATTGACAAATGGATTAAGGAGAAAAATGGGTCTCAAAGTCAGACAACATGCAACATGATGAATAGAATTCAAAACACACAGTATCAACATTTAGCAGACGACTTTATCAATGTAACATAATCTTGATATAGATATACTGGAGGAAAAAATGCTAAATTGTGTATTTTGCAATTATTTTACCATGCTGTACCATATTTTACCTCAAAATAAGGCTTGTCCACAATGTCAAAATACTATGAAAAATTAAAATACACAGACAAAATTCGCGCGCTTTCCAAATTCTTGTTATTTGAATGATTGATCTATTCGTATATTTATATAAAGGTAAAAAAGATACTTTTTTATATATTTGTAAATAACGCATCGAAGAATATAACTAAAATATGAAAATAAAAAACAGCATTTATCAAGGAAGTAGAAAACCCGACTAAATTGTGAGATAAATATAACTCGAATTACATCATGTTCAAGATATCATTTTTTTTTTTCAAAATGTCTGCGCCCTTGTGTTTTGTCCATCACCGTGAAAAATGATGAAAATATCAAAAAGAGCTTACATATAAAAACGATGTCAAAATTAATTCAAATGCCATCAAAGACATGGCTGAAATACAAGCGGTGGGACGTGATCAAACGATATCAATCAGCTGCGTCAACCGTGAATCTTGGAAACAGGTAATAATTCTTAGAGAAAATTCTGGCTGATGATAACGAATGGTATATAAGGCAATAGGCTAAAGCAATTAACGTTAATGTTTGCTGAATTTGTTTTTATAAATTGTGATATTTACGTAAATGAATGAGAAGTGAACTTACACAGAATAATTCATTATCATGCTCATAGGAGATCTCGCACAGTAGAGAGTGCAACAGTTTTGAAGTAAATTAATATAGTGGATTTTACTTTTATAATGTCGCCTACCTTAGTAATATGTTTTACGGTGTGACCGTTGGGGCGAGCGCAGTTGTACCATCAAAAAGCTATAGCAGCTTTGATCCGCCTCTTCAAACGTCAAACCGCACGAGACACAGTCTAAACTGTGACGTCACATGACGTCGGAATTTACGGAGACCGCCGAGCGTCTGGTTGAACGAGACTAAAGATCTTGTGCAATAATAAAAGAAAATACGTTGTAGAGTAGATGTAATTATTTTTTGTTTCTTTTAAGCTCTCTGCAAAAAAAGAAAAGTAAACGTATCTCTCGGTACTGAATTATTATCCTTGGTCTTTTGTATGTTTTGTAAGAATTTCGCATGGAACCCTGGTAGCGAAGGAATTCTGGGAATGTTGCACCAGAAAATTTGCCTGACGTATATACAGATTTCATTCCGAATTTCCTCTGTTCTTACACGTTAGTCTATTGAGCTCGCTTCGCGAGCAGCGCTTCTCTCTGCGCTCGCTATAAGGTGATGACGGGACTCAACTGACTTGGGAAGCGTGCCGGCACTGGTGGGTGGCTATGAGGTCAGGGTGAAAGGTCATAGGGAATATATTTACATATGCAATTTCACTACAGTATTAAATTTAATCAATGAATAAGTATGTAGTTAAATTTCTAAACTTTGAATCAAATCCATTTTTTAAATAATACTTAGTCCATCAAAAGGCTGAAGGTCAGAAATCTAGGCAGTGATGTGAGTGAAATTATTTCTTGAACAATTGAACATGAATGACAATACAGCAAACAATTTCTTTCTTTTCTATTGTTCAGAACACTTACCATAGAAACAGGGAAACTGGCCAAATTTGCAGATGGTGCAGCAGTTATAAAGGTATTCTATAAATTCTCATTAAATGAGAGTTTTCATTGTTGATCAGACTTTCTGCATTACAGTTTTATTCTTATTTTGTTTCAGCAAGGAGAAACCAGTGTTCTTGTAACAGCAGTGACAAAAACTCTATCCCAGCCATCTTCATTTCTTCCTCTCACTGTAAGTGACTCTCTGCCAGTTATGTCACTATTATAACATACATAAGATTGATTTTTTTTTTTTTTCGATATTGTTACATACTAATGTTTAAAGTTAAGCTAAAATCTTAAAAACAAAACTTAATGCATATAAATCTCTGAAAATTTTCACTCAGTTTTTGCATTCAAGGGGGATGAGAGTTTGCTATTTTGCTATTTTTCTAAATCTTCCATATTTTTTTTCTCTATGAAATATAAGGTGAGGATTAATTCTGCTTACATGTCATGTACATGTATAATGTTTACAGCATGTACATTACAGTGTAGATATATGAGATGCATTTTGGGTTTCTTGGTAGATGTTACAGCAAATATACTTACAAACAAATGTTAGCTACACATAGATTTTTATACTGAACGTGTATAAATAAATAAAAAAGGAATCGTCAATTTTACTGTTATGCATATGTCATGTTCATCCAATCAACTGCAACCAGATACAGAAAAGTAGTTTTTATGACTTGAATTTTGTCTAGAGAAATAGTTTCAGTTAGAGACTTCAACAGGGTCTTAACTTGCTATATGATGCTTTTACATTGCAGGTTGATTACAGACTGAAAGCAGCAGCAGCAGGGAGGATTCCTATGAACTATTTCCGTCGAGAACGGGGTCCTTCAGAGAGTGAAATCCTCACAAGTCGTGTTATAGGTAGATAAAGACATATGAACATCATAAAAAAGTTGTTGATTAGATTGAAAAAATGAAAGATAAATTTTGGTGTGAAAGGTTCAAAGCACTCATTAACAATTTTAATTTTGCAGATCGATCAATAAGACCTCTTTTTCCAGATGAAAGCAGCAGGGAAATTCAGGTGCATATTGTTTATAATTTGAAATTTTTTTAAGTATATGTTTTTTGATTGATAAACATGATAAAGAATAATTTCTGGATATTATTTTTTTTCAGCCTGAATTTTATTTATTTTATGCCTAATGTTCACAATCCCTTTTCTAGGTGTGTTGCAATGTATTAGCAGTTGATGGAGAAAATGATCCCGCAATTCTCAGTATCAATGCAGGTACATGTACATCATTCATATTTTCTTCAATCAAATACAAATTAATGTATATAAATGATGTAAAAGTAAAAAACTATAACATGTTCAACTTACATCTAATTCTTTAAACTGTTAAGGAATATTTCAAATTTTGGGGATGTGAGAATATCTAATTATTTTTATTTTATCGTATATTTCATTTTATTGTATATTTAATTTTTATTATATATTTCTTTTTCTTGTATACAGCATCAGCTGCCATAGCCGTGTCTTCTGTACAGTATCAATGGAATGGTCCTGTAGGTCTGTTGTTGTCCTTTTTATGTATTTATCAACTAATTCTTCTGTATGCTGGAAAATCATGGTGTACATGTATTATATAGGTAGATTGTCAATGCATTTATCTTTTTTGAGGTCAGATTTTTATAATTAATTTAGTATTACTCATCATACTTAAAACAATGCTTGTTAATACCTTAGTTTACTGAATAATTTCTCTTATGATTATTTTTAAGGTCAAGGCTATATTGGATTTGTTTTTTAAAGTCCTAGCTAACAGATCAATTTGACTTTTTGTTCTCTTTTTCCCATCTTGTGACATTTAAAATGGGCATGTACATAAAATTCCAGAAGTGTGCCCTATTGTCACTTGGGTAACCACTATACTTTTGTTGTATCTCCAAGGTCAAGGTCATTCAGATTCTTATATTTCAATTTTTTTTTAGGACTTGGTATACATTTATGTCTTCTTTCTTGTAGGAGCTGTCAGGGTTGGATATGTAGATGATAAATTTGTAATAAATCCACTTCGCCATGAGCTGGAGCAGAGTAAAATCAACCTAGTGGTTACATCCAGTAAACAAGGAATAGGTAAACATCCTATAATGACATTCAACAACAAAAAACCTTAGCTAGAGACCTCATATCTAACCCCAGTAAACAGGGAATAGGTAAACACTCATACAGTGACATTTAGCTACAAAAACATTAGATAGGGACCTCATGTCAACATCCAGTAAACAAGGAATAAGTACCGGTAAATACAATGACAAAACCAACAGAAACCTTAGTAAGGGACCTCATATCTAATCCAGTAAACAATAAATAGGTAAACAGTAAACACTCTCAAAATAACAATAAACAATACAAACCTTAGTTAGGGACCTCATATCTAATCCAGTAAACAATAAATAGGTAAACAGTAAACACTCTCAAAATAACAATAAACAACACAAACCTTAGCTAGGGACCTCATATCTAATCCAGTAAACAATAAATAGGTAAACAGTAAACTCTCTCACAATAACAATAAACAACACAAACCTTAGCTAGGGACCTCATATCTAATCCAGTAAACAATAAATAGGTAAACAGTAAACTCTCTCACAATAACAATAAACAACACATACCTTAGTTAGGGACCTCATGTCTAATCTAGTAAACAGTGAATAGGTAAACAGTAAACACTCTCACAATAGCAATAAACAACACAAACCTTAGCTAGGGATGTCGTGTCTACATTAAGTAAAAAAGGAATATGTAAACATATTTATAATGACATTTAGGTACAAAAACATCCAATACTAAAACAATGAATAGGTAAACACTCTTATAATGACACTAAACAATACAGACATTGTCCAGAGGTAGGGGCTTCAAGGTAACAACTGGTAAACAAGGAATGTTTATTTGTTTCTCATCCCTTTCGAGAATTTTTCTCTCATATCGAGATGCCACTATTTGCTGGTGAACTGTATATCATTCTTAAACATTTAAAAGTGTTTTTGGTGTGTTTTTATTAACATTATTGTGGATAGAAAATTTTAAATGATATAAATTTTGATAGTTATGCTGGAGGGAGGAGCCAATGCTGTGGATTACGATTTGTTTAAGGAAGCCATTAAGGTTGGTTACGAAGAGTCTTTTAATATCATCGAAAGTATCGAGGATCTGAGAAAATCAGCTAGTGAAAATAAGTATATACCTAAACGTCTGCCTCCAAGGTTCCAGGATACAGAAATTCAGGATGCTGTGTACAGGTATTATGGTGTACATGACATATATTCATTGCTGTGTTCATGAAGTGGGTCTGGGAAAATTGAAAACATGTCTGTGTTTTTCACCTAATAGTATATTTTAAAAGCAGCTGTTTTTATATTTTTGGGAAGAATTTTACACATTGGAATCCTAAAAACAATTTGGAAAAAATGACCACATTTCTTAGGGGAAACTGACTTTCCTGGGCTGTGCTTTTGAAAGACACTGTTTGAAGGAACTTCTTTTATATTTTAGGTTGTGCAATTCAAAGTTGACTGCAGTGTTTACAGATTATAATCATGATAAGGTATAATAGCATGACATTTTTGTGAAAGCACTCAACCTATGCACAGGAGATGGAAATTTACTTTATTTGAAGACTTTTTTTAATTGGGTCAATTTTAATTGAAATTTATTCATTATCTACGTATCTGTAGACAGGAAACTCCCAAAAGGGAAACTACTTAGAAATTCTGAAAATAATGATGTTATTAGATATTGATCCATAGGAAGTATGCCCAGTCATATTGTTTTTTATTTGGTCAAATTTGATTTATTCAAAAACATTTGTTAAAAAGTACTATTACCCTACTCGTGCATAAACCATGCCCTCCAGGTAACATTATCTTTCAATGGTTGAAAATTCATGACGGCAGGTAATCGTATAAAAATTGTGAACTGTGCAGAATGTTTGTGCATATGGTTCACATTGATTGATTGATTGATTGATTGTATATTGTTTAACATCCCTCTCGAGAATTTTCACTCATATGGAGATGCCACCACTTGCCGGTGGAGAGCTGCAAATTTTGTCCTATACTTGGCACTTACGGTCATTGAACAGTGAGGGATCTTTTTCGTGCCACCTACTGCAACACGGGACCTCGGTTTATACCGTCTCATCTGAAGGACCGGTCTCCACGTCCCACAGTGGGATTCAAACCTGCGACGTAAGGATCAACTCCTTACTTCGCGACTCTAGAGCAGACGCTCTAACCACTGCGCCACGCGGGTGGTTCACATTGATGTTTTCCTTTAAATGCATTAAAATACATTCAGTATAAAAAAAATATATTGCATGTTTTTAAGGGTAGTATGAAATTGTTATCCCATGAAAACCTTGGTCAACAATGGTTTTTGCAGGATGACAATGTCACGTTACCCTAAAAATATGCAATATTTTTATAGTTATACACATATTTGATTGAGCAATGATAAAAACCTTAGTGGTCTGGAATATCTGGAAAGTTTAAAGGTCCTAAAAAATGTGATTCAAAACTAAAAGTATATTTACAACAACAGAAAAACATTTTTACTTAGATCAGTTTTACATTTGAATTGTACACATTTATTTTTTCAGTTTTCAAGAGATTCAGCTGTGAAGCTTATTGTCAGTGGTGTGATGAATGAATTAAAAGGTGGGTCAGATAGTGTACAGAATTATCCTTCGTCCTCTTACGTACATTCATAGCTAAATATGCAGTGTCCAGCGCATGCGCAGATACTGACCTCTAATTCACAGAAACAATGAAAGTTTTCCCGCCACTACCCATCATAGTTAATTCAGTGCTCGCGTAGTATAGACCACCAACTTACGTAATTCAGTGTGTATGTGTTTTGTTTCACAGATTCGTTTATTTTAACCGTTTTTTCTTGTGGAAGTTATGGATAACTCTGTTAAGGAACAATTTATTATAATCGAACAAGTAAAGGAAGTTGAACAGGACACCTTATGAAATTCCAGCGTCTCTTACCAGCATCAGAAGATGGCGGGGCACGCTGACCAAGCTATCACCAACTCTAATCTCCGCATTGCGGATCAAGAGTTTGAACACCAAACGAGTGTTTCTCAGGCTTCTACGCCTCTTTTAAGTGGAATTTCCACCTATTCTGTGGCATTGCCACCTAATGCAACTGACAGCGCCTCGTCTATGACTTCGGAGGCAGGGTGTAACATGATCCGCCCGCCATTAATACCAACGCATTTGGCGCAAGGATCACCAGTCCGATGGCTGAGACACTCGGCTCCATGTAGCAATGTCTACGCTACACCAGTATCCAGTCTTGAAATAGCTTCGGATATTTCACCTCGTTCAGTGAAGGTTTCGGCAGCCCTCCCTGTTCAGGGGAAAGCGTATCCGGAATCCAGACTGACTGGATCGACTTTTACGTTGACTTCCGCTAGAGCTGACATGGCTGCGCCCATGGTGTTCAACAGCGAAACTGTTTCGTCTCTTCACAATGCTCTTGGTTTGAATGACATTGTGAATTCAATAAACAAATTATCATCTTTAGTGGAAACAACCATGAAACGTAAAAAAGTGGAGAAGGAATCCTCCAGAAAACGTGTAAAACGAAACGAGAATGAAGATATGGAACATGATAATGAAACCTCTGATGAAGATAACAGTGAGGAAGATAGTTCTTCAGATGATTATGAGGATGAAACAAGGTTTGGCCACGCCTTTACCAAAGGTAAAACATCCGCAAATGTAAATAGTTCTTTAGTTTCAATGCTAAATAAGGCTTGCACATCCCAAGCTGATGTAACATTTATCAAAGATATCAGAGATAAATATGATAGACCAAGCAACATTCCACATCTTATAGTGCCCACAATAAATGCAACCATCTACAGGAAAATGTCCCGATTCCAAAAAGACACTGATCAAGGGCTACAAAAGACACAGGGAAATTTGTTTGGAGGCATTTATGCCACAGCGTTGTTATCCGAGAAGTTACACCAGCTTAGGAAGGACAATCCTGATGATGAGTTACTTACCGATCTACATACTATATCCGAAGATGCACTTTTTCTCCTCTCACATTCCTCATTCCAACTTTCTGTAGCCAGGAGAGATTCCCTTAAACATTTATTTGCTGGAGATTATAAAGACTTATGCAAGAAGACGCAAAAGGTCACAGATGAGTTGTTTGGTTCGGAACTCACCAAGGTCTGCAAAGACATATCAGAGGCATCAAGAGCCACTACCAAAATGCTAAAATCATCTGCATCTAGCAGGAATTATCGTTCAAATTCCTTTCGAGAAAACAATTCCTTTCGATCCAACAGAAAACAGTCAGTCAGCAACAAAACATATTCAAAAAACTACCAAGGATACAAATGGAATTCAAATTCTGGAAATCAACAAACAACACCACTGCTGGGAAGAACCACAAATCTCAGTAATTGCAGGCCAGCTTCGAAACCATGTAACTTTTTGGACTTCACTGACTACAGACATGAACATTCTCAATATTATTCAAGGATACCGAATAGAATTTATGATGAATCCCTATCAGCACAAACCCAGGATTACTCCAACTCCGAAAAACATGGAAAAAGCACAAATTATTCAGGACGAAATCAATTCTTTATTGCAAAAACAAGCAATTTTACCAGTTCAGCATCACCGAAAACAATTTATCTCAACAATATTTTTAGTCCCCAAGAAGACTGGCGGAATGCATCCAATAATCAATTTAAAACCACTGAACAGATTCATAGAGACAATACATTTCAAGATGGAAACTTTGCAGACAGCCCTGAATCTAATACAGGAAGGAGATTTCTTGATCAGTGTGGATCTGAAGGATGCTTACTTCAGTATACCGATTTACCATCTACATCGGAAATATCTGAGATTCATTTGGGAAAATCAGACATACGAGTTCCAGTGTCTTCCATTTGGTCTGAAATCAGCTCCTCGGATTTTAACAAAGTGTACCAAACCTCTAATGTCCTTCCTCAGAACTCAAGGTCATCGTGGAGTAATTTACATAGACGACTCTCTGTGGCTAGCACAGACAATGTTTCAAGCACAAGAGATGTGTACCAAAGTCCTCAAAGTCTTCCAGCAAGCTGGATTCGTAATAAATCAAAAGAAATCTATTCTGATTCCAGCTCAAAAAATTCTGTTCCTAGGTTATTTTATAGACACTGTGAAAATGAAAGTTTTTCTACCCTCAGAAAAAATCAAACTAATTTTGGTCGAAATTCAAAACCTATTGTCTATGGTCAATCCCAAAATTCAAACTGTAGCTCATGTGATCGGATTAATTGTATCTGCATTCCCAGCCATTTGATCGGATTAATTGTATCTGCATTCCCAGCCATTTACCAAGGCCCCCTCCATCATCGTTCTTTGGAAAAAGACAAAACATCAGCTTTATTCCAGAATCAATCGTACCAAGCAGCAATGACACTCTCTCCAAATGCTCGACAGGAACTTCACTGGTGGATCCACAATTTGGAAACGTGCAATGGGAAGCCAATTCGTTTCCAAGATCCAGACATAGTTATAACGACAGATGCATCGAAAAAAGGTTGGGGGGGAGTGATGAACAACCAGAAGGTATCAGGCAGATGGACTCAGGAGGAAACTTTTCTACACATAAATGTGTTAGAACTAAGAGCGGTACAATTTGCCCTACTTACTTTAGTTCCAGAGCTATTGAACCAGAACATAAAGTTACAGATCGACAACAGATCAGCAGTAGCATACATAAACCACATGGGGGGAACTCATTCAGAAACCATGAATTCTATTGCAAAGGAAATTTGGGAATGGGCAATTCAAAGAAATATTCATTTGACAGCAGTACATATTCCAAGAATAGAAAATGTAAAAGCAGATTTTCTGAGCAGACACTTCTTAGATCAAATGGAATGGCAGTTGAATCAACAAATGTTTCACAGAATTGTACAGAACCTATTTCAGCCTCAGGTCGACCTATTTGCCAGTCGACTGAATTATCAGCTCCCGCAGTATGTATCATGGCAACCAGATCCAATGGCATGGAAGACAGACGCATTCTCAATTCCATGGAAGAATCTCAAAGCGAATGCTTTCCCCCCATTCAACTTGATATCACAAGTCCTTCAGAAAGTGAGACGAGACGATCCTCTCATGATCTTAGTAACACCATTTTGGACAACACAACCGTGGTATCCCCAAGTTCTCCAGTTATCTTGCAAAAATCCAATTCTACTACCAAGAAAAGACAAAATGTTAATCCTACCTTACGACAAAAATCATGTCCACCCACTCCAGAAATCTTTACAGCTAATCGCATGGACTGTATGCGGAGACAGTACCAAGCAAGAGGTTTTTCAACAAAATCAGCGGAAATTCTCAGTAATGCATGCAGAACAAAAACCACAAAACAGTATCAATCCTCATGGAAACTATGGTTGGGCTGGTGTAGCGGCAGGAGTTTGGATCCCTTTTCAGTGTCTGTCATAGACATAATAGAGTTTTTATCAAATGAATTTCAGAAAAACAAGTCTTACAGTGCTTTAAACAGTTACCGTTCCATGTTGTCAGGAACTGTGAGTCCAATTGATGGATTTGCCATTGGAAAACACCCAACAGTTATTCAGTTTTTAAAAGGTGTATATAATTTGAATCCAACTAAACTGAAGTACTGTACAGTTTGGGATGTTTCAGTTGTTCTCAAATATATTAAATCATTACCATGTAATGGCAATTTATTACTGAAGTATTTAACCTACAAACTTGTTATATTAGTAGCTTTAGTTTCAGCAGATAAGGGACAATCAATTGCTTTACTGGATTTAAAATTAATGTCTATTCTTCCTTCAAAGTGGTGTTTGTCATTGATAAACTTACTAAAACTTCCAAGCCAGACAAACCTATGAAGAAAATAGTTCTACCTTCTTATCCTAAGTGTGAGAAATTGTGTGTGAAATCCACATTACAAGCATATATTGAGAAAACTAAGGATTTAAGAAAGTGCTCAACTTTGTCTCTTTACATAAACCACATAGAGCAGTGACTTCTTGTACTATAGCTCGATGGATTAAACGTTTTAACAAATGCTGGTGTGCATGGCTTCGGTGCACATTCAACTCGGAGTGCATCAACATCAGCTGCTTTGGAAGCTAGTTTATCTGTAAAGGATATCATGAGTGTAGCAGACTGGTCAAATTCATTGACTTTCAACAAGTTTTATAAAAGAAGCATAGACGATGGTTCCTTTGGAAAAGTGGTTTTACAGAAAAACTCTACATAGGTAAGATGTTGAACTTTTACATCTTTGAAATCTGCATATTTAGCTATGAATGTACGTAAGAGGACGAAGGATAATTTACAATTAGACAAGGGTAAGGTACTTACCTGTAGGATAATTGGGATTATCCAAGTCCTTGTCGTACATTCAGAGCTAAATCCCTCCCTACCCATCCCTATTTACATGATGTTACTGTGTGTCTTCTTTGCTCACACTGTATTAACTATGATGGGTAGTGGCGGGAAAACTTTTATTGTTTCTGTGAATTAGTGGTCAGTATCTGCGCATGCGCTGGACACTGCATATTTAGCTCTGAATGTACGACGAGGACTCGGATAATCCCAATTATCCTACAGGTAAGTACCTTACCCTTGTCTAATTGTAAATTATCAGTGGTGTGATGAATGAATTAAAAGGTGGGTCAGATAGTCTTACAGAATTATCTCAGCTTAATAGAGAGTAGTAACATTTCAAAAGGGGCTGGGGATTTAGATTTGTTCAAATGGAGAGCCACTCTCTCTTACCAAATACATGTATGCCTATCATATAGAGAGTAGAAACATTTCAGAATGTCAGTGTTCCACAAAGGAGGGGATTTAGATTTATTCCAATGAAGAGCCACACTCTCTTACCAAATATTCCCATCATGCAAAATATTTACAAATATGCTTCTGATTATTATTTCTCTGTCAGTTTTATAGATAAAATCATTTAATTTTTCTCTGTTTTAGATCTTTATCTGTCCATGACAGAAGATGATTTAAATCAGTACATACAGAGGTGTATTAAACAAATCTTCAGGGAGAGTATCTTTACTACGGGGAAAAGGTATTTTGTTTAGACAGTTTTTCAATCCATTTGAACTTGTGTATATTGAAAATCAAAATCTTAAATACCATGGATAAATGAGAAAAATATATTGAAAATACATGTATTTCTAAACTCTTTTACATATAAAAAGCAAGAATAACTTCTCATATAAGAATAAGAAAAAATAACTTCTCAAGAACTAATGTGCCAGAAATTATGAAACTTATGTGAAAGTTTTCTGAAATAGTGAAGATTCAATTTTTTCAAATCACGACCCCTAGGGGAAGGATAGGGTCACTATGGGTGATCAAAGTTTTCTATAGGAAAATGTGGAAGCATCCTCAGGTAGTGTAGATTCAGCTTTGTTCAAATCATAGCCCCTGGGGTTGGGTGGGGCGTAAATGGGAATTCAAAGATTTATATAGTAATATAATGGAAATTGGAAAAGAATCTATAAATCTATATAAATATCTTCTACTCAAGAAAAGTAAAGTTGTGTTTAGTCGTATTTATATGGAAGCATCAGTTAGTGTAGATAAAAGTTTCTTCAAATCATGACCCCATAGGGTAGGGTGGGGCCACAATATGTAATCTAAGTTTTACATTTGAATATACAGTCGAACCTCGTTATCTCGAACTCGATGGGATCAAGGAAAAACTTTGAGATATCTAAGGATTTGAGATATCAAGGGTAAAATACTTAAAGAATAAGTGGTTGGGACTTCCAAATCAATTTCGACATATCCATAGTATTCGAGATATCAGTGTTCGAGATACCGAAGTTCCACTGGATAGGAAAAAAAATCTGCTAATGAAGAATAAAAGGGCTATAGTAACTCATTTGAGCATTGTGGCCCATTGATCTCTTGACAGTGTTCTTTAGGTACCATAATTCAACCACAATGTCTTGAATTCCTAGATACTGTATGTGTACTTAAAAAAGCGGGCTTCATATTTTAGCGGCTTTGGTTCAGACAATGATGCGCTAATTTATGAATAGTGCTAATAAATCTTTTATATATACAATACACGGCATGGACATGTGTGGCGCTAATTCCTGATTACGCCAACAACTCCATACCCAGTGATTGCATTAAATTTTGAATACGCCAATTTATGTACAAGTACAGTATATTGAAGTTTTTTTTTCCTGCCCAGTCAAGTTTGAGATAGTAAGGTTTGACTGTGTAATGTTTACTATTAATTGTAATTATGCATATGTATGACATCTTTGTTTACAACATGACCAGGTGTGATGGCAGAAGTTTAACACAGCTCAGAAATATTTCCTGTAGTGTAGATGTCCTCAAACCCCTGCATGGATCCTCTCTTTTCCAGAGAGGCCAAACACAGGTCAGAAACAAAAACTACAATATTATGTGTTATCTTTAGAAATTATTAACAGAAATGGTCCCTTTCTACTCTTATCTTTTTTTCCAGAGATTTTTTTTATGAGATAGACATTCCTACAATGAATTTGAGAGGTTATATATTTGACCTAAAGACTGCCATGCCCAGAACTAAGATCCTTTTGACAAACTCAATTATAGCAAAGTCCTGGGGGCCTGTGAATTTACTTCACTTATATCTGTTATTCATTACATCTGTGTAAAAAATGTGTTATTAATATATGTAGTAAATTCGCAATATATATTTTCTTTCAAGTATATGTAGACAAATCAAAAATTGTGTGTCAACATTACACATATAGTCTAAAACTGTTCTCATCTGTTGTTTAGGTTCTGTGCACCATGGCTTACGATTCTTTAGACATGTCATTAAAGTTTGGTCCTGTTGCACAGCTCATCAGGTAATGTTGTTGTTATGTATTAAGGTTCATTGACCCTCTGATAAGAGAGATAACTCACTAGATCAATCACTGTTTTATACTGTTATAAAATCTTTTTTGTCTTTTAAAATTGCTTCCAAGCAAATTTTTAAAATTTGAATGAAATTAGTGCATATGTATTCAAAGACCATTTGTAAAACTAGTGCAAAACATATTTAGGCAGACATTCATAAATCTGCTTCATTCCACCTTTGTTTTGATGAGAGTAGGGGTTATAATAATACCCATATCTATGTTGCTTTATGTTTTTCTTTCAAAGTTAAAAGGTTGACAAACAAGTAATACAGGTGGAGTTTAGTGTATTTGATACTAAAGAGAATTCTAAATTTATCTCCAAAAAATTGTTTGTAATATTGTCATATGGTAAAGCTTTGGCTACAACTTGTTCTCATTTCTTTTTTTCAGTGGTGCAAAGGAAAAGAATTTCATGTTACATTATGAGGCAAGTAAAAGAATATTATATGTATTACATGTAGCTCATTTCAATCCATGACTCAAGTGACTTTTTAGCTCTACTGGTCAGAGACCAGAAGAGCTTATGCGATAGTAAGGTGTCTGTTGTCCATCCGTCTGTCTCGCTGTTCTTACGAGAGTTACACTGTGTGGTAAAACTTGTGTATTTTCCTGCAATCTGGGGTTACTTTTGTTTTGTGGGGTTAACCCCACAAAAAAATTGGTTTATTCATGTCTGATTTCAGTATAACTTGGCACACAAGTAGACTACATAACGATACATAATTCAGAGCACCGGTTTTTGATTTTGAAAAAGGGTGTTGCCATGGTTACTAGAAATAGAAATTTCTGTGAAATTCTTTAAAATGCTACAACTCCTACAGTTTTGGTCTGATTTCAATATAACCTGGCACACAAGTAGACTACACAAAGATACATAATTCATTTTATTGGTTTTTGATTTTTATGAGTGGTATTGCCATGGTAATTAAAAGTAGAAATTTCTGTGAAATACATTTACTTTCAAAATGCTACTCCTCCTACAGTTTTTATCTGATTTTAATATAACTTGGTACACATGTAGACTTCACTAAGATACATAATTCAGAGCATCGGTTTATGATTTTGATGACTGTCATTGCCATGGTTACTAAAATAGAAATTTCTGTGAAATTCTTTAAAATGCTACTCCACCTACAGTTTTGGTCTAATTTCAATACATGTATAACCTGGCACATAAGTAGCCTACAGTAAGATACATAATTCAGTATATTGGTTTTTAGCTCACCTGAGCTGAAAGCTCAAGTGAGCTTTTCTGATCACATTTTGTCCGGCGTCCGTCTGTCTGTCCGTCTGTCTGTCTGTCTGTCTGTCCGTCTGTCTGTCCGTCTGTCTGTCTGTAAACTTTTCACATTTTCGACTTCTTCTCAAGAACCACTGGGCCAATTTCTACCAAACTTGCCACAAAGTATCCTTGGGTAAAGGGGATTCAAGTTTGTTCAAATGAAGGGCCACGCCCTCTTTCAAGGGGAGATAATTAGGGTTTAGTGAAAAAATAATGGCATCATTTAAAAATCTTCTTCTCAAGAACCGTAGGGCCAGGAAAGATGAAACTCATGTGGAAGCATCCTCAGGTAGTGTAGATTCAAGTTTGTTCAAATCATGACCCCCGGGGGTAGGGCAGGGCCACAATGGAGGATCAAAGTTTTACATAGAAATATATAGGAAAAATCTTTAAAAATCTTCTTCTCAAGAACAGCAAAGCCATGATGAGCCATATTTATGTGGAAGCATCCTCAGGTAGTGTAGATTCAAATTTGTTCAAACCATGACCCCTGGGGGTAGGGCAGGGCCACAATGGAGGATCAAAGTTTTACATAGAAATATATAGGAAAAATCTTTAAAAATCTTCTTCTCAAGAACAACAAAGTCATGATGAGTCATATTTATATGGAAGCATCCTCAGGTAGTGTAGATTCAAGTTTGTTCAAATCATGACCCCAGGGGGTAGGGCAAGGCCACAATGGAGGATCAAAGTTTTACATAGAAATATATAGGAAAAATCTTTAAAAATCTTCTTCTCAGGAACAGCAAAGCCCAGATGGTATATATTTATATGGAAGCATCCTCAGGTAGTGTAGATTCAAGTTTGTTCAAATCATGACCCCCGGGGGTAGGGCGGGGCCACAATGGAGGATCAAAGTTTTACATAGAAATATATAGGAAAAATCTTTAAAAATCTTCTTGTCAAGAACAGCAAAGCCATGATGAGTCATATTGATATGGAAGCATCCTCAGGTAGTGTAGATTCAAGTTTATTCAAATCATGACCCCAGGGGGTAGGGCAGGGCCACAATGGAGGATCAAAGTTTTACATAGAAATATATAGGAAAAATCTTTAAAAATCTTCTTCTCAAGAACAGCAAAGCCATGATGAGCCATATTTATATGGAAGCATCCTCAGGTAGTGTAGATTCAAGTTTGTTCAAATCATGACCCCCCGGGGTAGGGCGGGGCTGCAATGGACTATCAAAGTTGTACATAGAAATATATAGGAAAAATCTTCTTCTCAGGAACAGCAAAGCCCAGATGGTATATATTTATATGGAAGCATCCACAGGTAGTGTAGATTCAAATTTATTCAAATCATGACCCCCGGGGCTAGGGTGGGGCCACAATGAAGGATCAAAGTTTTACATAGAAATATATAGGAAAAATTTTAAAAATCTTCTTCTCAGGAACAGCAAAGCCCTGATTGATGTATTATTATGTGGAAGCATCCTCAGGTAGTGTAGATTCTATTTTATTCAAATCATGGCCCCCATGGGTAGGATGGGGCCACAATGGAGGATCAAAGTTTTAAATAGAAATGTAAAGGAAAATATCTTCTGAAGAACTGCAAACCATGATTAGTCATTTTGATATGGAAACATATAGAAAAAATATTTTCTTCCCAAGAACAGGAAAGCTATGTTTAGTCATACTGATATGGAAGCATCCTCAGGTAGTGTAGATTCAAGTTCAAATGATGACCCCTGGGATAGGGAGGAGCCACAATGGGGGATCAAATTTTTACAAAGGAATATATAGGAAATTTTTTTAAAAATCTTCTCAAGAACAACAAAGCCATTTGTTATATTGACATGGAAGCATCATCAGGTAGTTTAAAATTCAAGCCCCCCCCCCCCCCTTCCCGGTAATCTTTTCAATACTGAACTGATTTGTGCTTTTGCCCAGCCAATGTGCTCAGGTGAGCGATGTGGCCCATGGGCCTCTTGTTGATTTTAATGAGTGGTATCGCCATGGTTACCAAGATTGGAAATTTCTGTGAAATACTTTCAAAATGCTACTCCTCCTACAGTTTTTGTCTGATTTCAATATAACTTGGTACACAAACACACTACACTAAGATACATAATTCTATTAATAAGTTTTTAATTTTGAGGAACCACCTTGTCATGGTTACTAAAAATAGAAATTTCTTTGAAATTCTTTTGAAATGCTACTCTTCCTACAGTTTGGTCCAATTTCAATATTACTTGGCACACAAGTAGACTACACTATGGTACATAATTCTTTGTATTGATTTTTGATTTCAAGACAAAACCAAGGATCATTATTCTAATTTATTGCTTTTGCATAGTTTCAAGTTCCTTCATTATAAGTACAAAACAGTAGAGCTACAGTCTCATCAGAGACTTCTGGTTTAAATGAAGTCTGTCATTTTCCATCTGCCTTTCTGTTGTCACATAGTTAAATTTCCACATTTTGACCTTTTCTCCAGAATATATGGAATTTGTCTCAAAACTTCTGATCAATTAAAGGAAGTTGAATGCAGGAGATTTATTTCCTTCATAGTGGAGTAAAGTGAACAAGAATAGAATTGGATATATTTGAAATCTAAAGAAATACAAACAGTATACTTGTATTAAAATTTAAGACTTAAAAACATAAAACAGATCTCCACCATTTCCTGAGAATGCAGCAGTAGATTTGTCTACTACTGCATTTTCACAAAGTATTGGTGATCTGTTTTATGTCTTTTTAGTTTACAATTTTAGATACAATCCATATTGCACCATGGTATCCACACATGATATCTTCTGCATGGTATCCACACATGATATCTTCCACATTTTCAACCTTGAGATGTTGGTTTACAGTTTTCTTTGTTTTGTACAAGTATTAGTTAGAAATTACAACAAAGATACATATAGTTGCTTCAAGTACAAGTATTTCTGATCAGTGAACACTTTTTGTCTGGTGTCTGTCACAAATCACAAAAACTGGTATCTTGGCCATAACTTCTGAATGAGAGAAGTTAGGACTTTTATATTTTACTTATGCATTACTTGTGCTGAAACCTTTCCAGTGTACTATAATTTTTGACCCCATGACCTTGACCTTTAAGTTTTACCTACTTTTCAAAAAAATATGGAATATAACTTTTGAGTGAGAGAAAGATAAGGTTTCCGTATTTCATTCACATGTACATTACCTATAACAACACCTTTTTAGAATGTGCTATGGTGTTTGAACTCATGACGTACTTTTCAGAAATTTTAACCCTAGCAAATCTTATGCACTTGAGGAAATAGAGCTTTCATATTCTATTTACTTGTGCATTTTCTGTGACAAAACATTTCTGAATGTACAATGATTTTTGACACCTTGACCTTAAAGTTTGACCTGCTGTTCAAAATTTACCTTTTGTTCCAGTGGAGACAAGAGATTCATAATTCACTTGTGCACTACCTTTGACTAGACATTTCCAACTGTGCTTTGATTGTTGACTGCATGACATGTATCTCATGTTTGACATTCAAAAACCAGTGACAGATCCAGAAATTCAAGTGGGGGGGGGGGGGGGGGGGTTGAGGCCGAAGGGGGGATGGAAGGGGGTGTCCCCCTCCCATATGGGGGTTGGGGGCCTCTCCCAAGGTATCTTTTGTAAAAAGTCGCTACAAATGGTGCATTTTCAAGCATTTAACATTGAATTCTTATTTTTTTCTTGCTTTGACAGGGCTTCTACTGGACATACATAAAAATTTTACTAAAAATTCATTACCCAAAGTTATAATTGTTTATTAGGTTTTATTAAACATCATTCAGTAGTATTTTTTTTTTTATATTTATAGATCTGTTGCTTTTAACAAGTTTATGATACTGTAACTTCCATCTACACACATTACTCTAGGGGATGACCATTTGATTCTGAGATTAGGGCTGACAGATTTTGGAAATAAATAATTTGTCCTTGAAAATGTTGAAAACAAATAATCCATCCTCATCTGGCAAGAAAATAATCTGTCCTTGTCTGGTTCTACTTTTCCCTTCCCCTCCTCCTTTTTTTTTTGGGGGGGGGGGGCGGGGGAGCTTGTCGAACTTTTTTCAGTGATGAAGAAAATAAATAATCTGTCCTTGATCATGTCGAAAAGTTGAAGATAAATAATCTGTTTTTGGCTGGCATGAAAATAAATAATCTGACTCAAAAAATTTTGTCAGCCCCCCTCCCATCAAATGGTCGTCCCCTACGATGTTACTCTTTTGATAAAGGTCACAATGGTAGACCGTCACATCTGGAGGGTCTACTTTCCCAAGAGTAAACTGGTAACACCAGTCTGTTAGTGAAAAATATTGTGAGCAAAATTTCATTAAAAAAAAATACTTTATTCGTGTAGTTCAGTAATGTTAAAAACAATTACATGTATCAGAAAAAGAGCTTATATGCCACAACCAATAAGAGCCTGAAAGCTAGGGACCAGAGATCTCTCAATTTGCTTGTTTCTCATACATTCTTTCTGTACAAAACATTCTTGTTAAAAAAAAAGATGTATTTGTGAAACACTGATGCCCCCGTATGGCAACTTATAGCAAAGATTAAACTTTCTCAAATGCAAATCAAATATGTTGGTACCCAAAGTAAGGTCTTGTCTCGAGGAATATACCTGTGAAATATGAAAGCCCTAGCAACAACCATTGAATAGATATAGAAAAGATTAAAGTTTTTCAAAAGTAAGTCAAACATCAAGGTCAAGGTCAAATGGTCAAAATTAATGGTGCCTTAGGAAAGGCCTTCTCACAAGAAATATACAGGTGAAATATGAAAACTGCAGCACCAACCCTTCAAAAGTTATGACCAAGGTTTAAGTTTTTCAAAAATAGGTCAAACTCCAAGGGAGGTCCAAAGGAAGGTCTTGTCACAAGGATTACATATATGAAGTATGAAAGCCCTAGCACCAACGGTGGTTCAAAAGTTATGGCAAAGGTTAAAGTTTTTCAAAAGTAGGTCAAACTCCAAGGTCAAGGTCAAAGGGTAAAAGTTTTTGGTATCCAAGGGAAGGTCTTGTCAAAAGGATTACATATTTGAAGTTTGAAAGGCCTAGCACCAATGGTTCAAAAGTTATGGCCAAGGTTAAAAATTTTCAAAAGTAGGTCAAACTCCAAGGTCAAAGGGTCTAAGTTGTTGGTATCCAAAGGAAGGCCTTGTCACAAGGATTACATATGTGAAGTATGAAAGGTCTAGCACCAATGGTTCAAAAGTTATGGCCAAGGTTTAAGTTTTTCAAAAGTAGGTCAAACTCCAAGGTCAAAGGGTCAAAGTTGTTGTTATTCAAAGGAATCTCTTGTCATAAGGATTACATATGTGAAGTATGAAAGCTGAAGTGCCAATCATTCAAAAGTTATGGCTAATGTTAAAGTTTTTCAAAAGTAGGTCAAACTCCAAGGTCAAGGTCAAAGGGTCAAAGTTGTTGGTATCCAAAGGAAGGGCTTGTCGCAAGAATTACACTTGTGAAGTATGAAAGCCTTAGCACCAATTGTTCAAAAGTTATGGACAAGGTTAAAGTTGGATAAAATTTTGCAAAACTGGGTCAAACTACAAGGTCAAGGTCAAATATGGTGGTACCCAAAGAAAGGTCTTGTCACAAGGAATACACATGTGAAAATGAAAGCCATAGCTCCAACCAATCAAAAGTTATGGACAATGTTAAAGTTTTTGAGGACAAACAGACAAACAGACAGACAGACAGACCAACAGGGCAAAAACTATATACCCCCGAATCTTCGATACGGGGGCATAAAAAATCATTGAATTTGCATGTTTTTACTTATGTTTTTATACAAAGTGAAAGAAAAAACAAACCAAATAAAACCCCCAAAAAACTTTTTTTTAATTGTTTGATTAAAATATTATACAGTTATTAAATATAATGACTAAACTCATCCTTATAAAATATATATTATAGCAATGGATTTCATAGATGATTTTCTTGTTGTTTTTGTGTTATACTATTAATAGATAAAGTCATGTTATTTACAGATAAAAGTTTACACAGTCAACTGATATAATGATAAATTTGAGGAGGAAGAAATATTTATTATATTATTTCAATCTATGCAATCTTGAATTTCACGTTAGATATTTGATTTTCTTCACTTGTTTGTTCCACATTTGAGCAACAAACAGATTGTCATTTGTATCTGTACACAGTCCCCAGGGTCCACTCAGTCCACAGTCTATGTAACAGAGGAACTGTCCATCCTGGTCTATGATGTGGACACAGTGATTGTTATAATCAACTGTAAGGATGTGACTCTGACTGTCTGTGGTGATTCCTAGTGGACTGAATGGTTGGTTCTTTGGAGCAGGAGTATGTCCAGTGTACCTGAATCTCAGTTTCCCGGCCTGATTGACCACCACTACTGCTTTAGCTCTATCATCAGACACACAGATATCCAGGTTCTTGTTTTCAGATATGTATCTGTTATAAAAAGAACCAGGTGAATAAAGACGTTTACCTTTATCATCAAACTGAATGGTTTGTTTCTCTGTAGAGCCAGAGTAACAGACAACTTTTGTTTGTTTTTTATCAACACTGTCCATGATAACCAGGAGAACACCAGAGGAGGTACTACAGACACCTTTAGGTCTCCACTTCTGTAGTCTGATCACCTCCTCTATCTTCTCATTCTTCACAATGTTCACAGTTCTATCCCAGTAATCAGTATAAACTAGATCTCCACTTTTTGTCACTGCTATGTTCCATGATGTGTTTCCTGACTTGGTTCTGATTGACTTGAGTAGTGAGCCCTGATTGATGCTGTAGAGTTTCATGGTGATGTCATTTCCACTTGTCCAGATTTCTTCATCACTCAGACAGGCCACATTGTAAAGGTTATCTCTATACCCAGTGTCTATGTTGGTGACAGTCTCTGGTTCATCAAGCAGCTGTTTGACTGGAGGAGAGGATCCAGCTTCTGGTGATTTCTGTGGTGTCTTCATGCTGTAGCCATGTTTATCTGATGTTAAATAACTTGATGATAAGACTCCAAACATTTTATTAAGTTCTTCTCCTTGGATTTTTCCTGGAATGAATTTAGGTAAAGATGGCATTATTTTGTATGGAAGATTTCTGTATGTGTGTACATTGGATGTGACACTAAATAGTTTTGACAAGTCATTAGTGTCTGTTGCAGTTTCCATTGAATTGATTTCTTCCTTGATGTCAGACATTGTCTTGTTTATTTCATCCAGATGTTTCTGTAGAGTTTGTAACTGTGTGTTTTTCATCAGATCAACTTCAGCTTTAAGTTTCTTGACAAGTTTGTCAATTTCTCTGTACCAGTCCTCTCCATAATTTGTTATGGCTGTTGAAAGATTTCCATATTTCTTTTCTAACCGACTCATTCTGTTTTGTACATCAGAGGCAATGTCCTGGTAGGTTGGATAAATCGTCTCATTTAGCTCAGTTTGTTCTTTTATTAACTTATTCTTTTTTTCATCCACAACTTTCAAGATTTCTTATACCTTATGACCTAGATGTTGATCAGATGCAATGCACTTATGGCATACAGGAATGTCACATTGATTACAGTACAGTTTACATCGTTCTTTATCATGGGATTTACATCCAGGGAAGAGGGGGGAAGATTTTCTGTCCTTGAAGTCACCAACTTTATGAGGTTTTGAGAGATCAGCTGAAATGTGTTCTCCCACACAGGCCTTACACAGGTTGACAAGACATGTATCACAGTGCATCTGTACCACAGCAGTCTCGCACAGGTCACATCGTATCACATCCTGGGCACTGGTACGGGGGTCCATCATTAGATTTTGTGACTGAAGTATAAATAGATATATATATTAAATTTGAATGTACAATAATACATCATTAAAAACTAGATTTTTTTTGTCAATCTCTCACCAGAAGGTGCACTGAGAAACCAATCTCCTACCAGAGGGCGTGCTATGCAAGCTTCTCTTGAACACCTGTTAATGTCCCCAAAGTGATGCTACCTTGCAATCTGATTAAGATCAGATCTTTGTTACGCTTCGAAATTCTGATTTCGCTGTACTTTGTACAGGGACATCAAAATTTCGGAGCATATTAAAGATCTGATTTTAATCAGATTGTGCTACCTTGGTAAAGGGGGTAGTTGCATCCCATGTAGTAGGCAAAGAAATTCAGGAGAAAAATTCCATGCTCAATATATTGATGTTTTAGTGAGTTTTTCAAGATGGGGAAAAATTGGTATAAGAGATTTTATCTTATATGCGTGATGGATACTATACATGTCATAAACTTTGCTTTATTAATGAGAATTGGTACGCTTTATCAATATATCTCACTAAAATGTCAATTTTCGTCAGTGTATTATAGTGCAATCCCCCCCCCCCCCCCTTTCTGCATAGGTAGGCCTAGCAGTTGAGAAGTTGTAAGTGCGAGATTCTTTTGACCTTGCAGAAAAGTCTAGTCACTTTCTACAATACTTTCCTACATGATTCTATAAGCATATCATAGATCTATATGTAACAGGTCTACCACCGTACACTTAATGCATGAAAATCCTGAGAATTAAGGCATTCCTCAGCATTTATCCTTGGAATATATTACAACTTTCAGTCAAAAGTTTTATGAAATAAATCTTCAAGATATTTGTCACCTATGTTTTAGAAGATGCAACTAATTTCATGTTGTTTTTTTTTATTTTGTATAGATCTACAAATAACTTTCTTTACTGTATGTCGGCATCAACAGGGTAACAACATCAAATCATGCATCATCGATTTAGAAATTTAACAATCAGTAGGGCCTATGGGGTAGATTTGCAAGGGATATCTCAAAAGGTTCACTTCTATATAAATAGGGATCTGACCTATAGGGCCGGGATTGTTTTTTTCGTTTACAAAAAGCTTATCGATTTCCATTCCGGTTAATGACTTTAGGCTAAATGCATGTAATAAATGTTTTTCAAAAATCTTTACTTCAGTAGTAGAGGTTGGAGGAACCTTTCATAGACATTGACTATATAGCATGATATTGTCAACGCATTTTGAGATTGTTATCTCGAAATGTAATAATTGATATTTTTCTTTGCTTTTCATTGTACATAATGGTAATTCTACAGTCTCAATTCTATTCCTGACATGAAGTTATTTTACAACTTATTTCCTCGATATAATAGAACATGCCATTGATGTATGGAAATGATATGTTACAGTAAATGAATTCCAAGGGAGTGCAGTAACTGATATATATAGCCCTACTGTTTTAAAACTTAAGTACAAAAGTACATGAATGTTATACTAAATTAATATATTAAGCTCAAATAATTCAAGCAATACGTAACATTTTAACCCAGACAAGCACTAGTAGTAAAGATGGAATAAAAGCAATGTGGTTAAATTCAAAGAAACGCATACAATTAATTGAAATCCATTGCAGCTCATTGCAGCTGAGAATACCTGTATCAAGTAACACAGAGTGAGTTATTCTTGTCCTCGAAGAAAGTGTGCTATACTGAGGAACAGTTCCATTTGACTATGTTTTAGGTACATTGGAATGTTACGATTTGCTCTCTCTAGTGCTTCTTATATCAACAATGGACATGCATAAAGGATAGATAATTGAAGGAAAATACACAAGCCTTTTAAAAAATTAATTAAAAATAGTCTTTGAAAATGCGAGAATTTAAAACGTTAAAAATGTGGCACCAGGTGGATTCGAACCCCCGACTTTAAAAAATTACCCACGATGTGAATAGCCATCACGAATATCAATTGAGCTATTCTGACTATCGTAATACAAAGTATAAATGTGAAACAGATTGTCAAAAACAGGTTTCCTTACTTTTTTGTAGGTTTTTTGTGAATTTCGACCCTAGGACAGGGGTGCCCCTAAAAAAATCCTATCTTAAATTATTCCTCACATCCCAACCTATCGAAATGTCACATTGTCAAATTTATTTAGGGGCAGGCCTGCCCTGAAGGACTTCTAGGACAACTTTCATGCAAAAATCAACGCTTTAACGGACAAAATGCTGTTTTGGCCAACTTTGGAGGTTTATTCTAAGGTTGTAAATAATAAGTTTTAGGTGCAAAATACAAATATGAAAAATTTAGACATATGTATGAAAGAAAACAACTAATGAACACGGATTTTTTAAATGTCAACTCATTTTTTCCAGGAATTTGTTCTCCTATAGGTCAGTTCTTTTGATATTGTGAATACATCCTTTGTTAGAAACTAAAATTGATTGAGATAAACAGAACATCTATAATCGTGTGATTTTTGTTATATTTGCTTTATCCAACTCGTTGAAATGTTGAATATTTGCTCAGCAAGCCAATATGCACCATTTCAACTCAAATATAAAATCACACAATATAGATATCCTTTTATATGTATCTTTGTGTCTATTGTGCAAATAAAATTAATAAGGTACGTACATTGTAAAACTTTATCATTTACCCATTTTACAAGACTCTTGTAATTTAGACAATATTAGAGGTTAAGTAAAGTTTGCATAGCATATCCTCATGGCACCCAGGGTTGGGCTACAATTGGGGATCAAAGATTTACATAGGGATGCATAGAAGAAAATCTTTGAAAATGTTCCTTTTCAGGAAGAGGAGGATTGATAGAAAGTTAATATAAAGAAATCTGTGTCAGGCCTTCTGATGGGAAGATGAAAATTTTGTAAAGGAAAATATGAAAAAAGTGGGGGGGGGGGGGGGTCACAAGAATTTCTGAAATTTATTTTTCATATTAACATGCATGCATCTTCAGGTAGTGAGGATTCAATAAAATTTATTCAAATCATGCCCCCAGGGAGTAAAGTGAGGTCAATGTTTTATAAGAACATGGGAAAGGGGCATTTTTTAAAAATCCTCTCAATTAAGATCAGCAAGGCCAATGTGAGTAAGGTGAAGATTGCGCTACACAAGCCTCCCCATTTGCTGAAAAGAATATTTTGAAAGCAGAATGTACTGGTAAATTAATCTCTATAATAACATATTGGTATTTATTGCCAATTTATGTTAATTTAGACCTTACTAGTAACTGATTTTCTCACTTTTGAATAGATTGTAGAATGCAGAATTATACAATAAGTCAACATCAACATTTTCAACAAAGACTAAACATTACCTGATGTAAAACAGTAATGGCCGCCAGCTTGATACTGGAATTCAGGTCACATGACTGGTTTACCTGTGTTTTCTACCTGTCTCATATTTAAACTTCCTGGTCTGTAATGGGAATTTAAATTTTACCTGTTTGAATCATGTCTTACTGCACACCTTTTAATGTTTCATTATAATGGAGACCAGTGGCAGATTTAAGGGGGGGGTGCACCTGGCGCCCGCCCCCCTAAAATTGTCAAAGTTGCGTAAATCATAGCTTCGTCAAGAAAATGTAAAATTGTCTACTCGGTAGACCTCATTTTTACCCTACAAAATCTCTAGAATCCTGGACCCACTGGGAGCCTCAAGGCAGCCCCCAGACCCCGTGCCTACTTTTGGCACCCCCTCTAACTTCAATTCCTAAATCCGTGTCTGCAGACCATAAAAATTGTAAAATTCAGTGTAAAAGACTAGCATTCATACCCTAACCTTAACACCCCCTACCCCCTCAGCTCACTACAGTAAAAATCAAATGAACATTATGTACACATGTCACTATAAATAAATAAATTACTTACTTACTTATACAATAAAATGAAATATACAATAAAATGAAAATAATTAGATATTCTCACATCTTCAAAATTAGAATTATTCCTTAACATTTCAGAAAATAAGTTGAACATACATGTTTACTATTTTGACTTGCTACAGCTTTTTTTCACAATGATATATAAATCATTCAATAGCTGATTGGAGAAAATATGAATGATGTACATGTACCTGCATTGATACTGAGAATTGCGGGATCATTTTCTCCATCAACTGCTAATACATTGCAACACACCTAGAGAAGGATTGTGAACAATAAGCATGAAAAATAAATAAAATTCAGGCCCAAACATAAATAAAATGTAAATATATTCTTTATCAGTAAATTACATAAACTTTAAAAAATTTCAAATTATAAACAATATGCACCTGAATTTCCCTGTTGCTTTCATCTGGAAAAAGAGGTCTTATTAATCAATCTGCAAAATTAGAATTGTTAATGAGTGCTTTTAACCTTTCACACCAAAATTTATCTTTTTTCAATCTAATCAATAACTTTTTTCTGAGTGATGTTCTGATGTCTTTATCTACCTATAACATGACTGGTGAGGATTTTGCTCTCTGATGGACCCCGTTCTCGACGGAAATAGTTCATAGGAATCCTCCCACCTGCTGCTGTTTTCAGTCTGTAATCAACCTGTAATGTACAAGCATCATACAGTAAGTTAAGACCCTGATGATGTCTCTATCTGAAACTATTTTTCTAGACAAAATTCCAGTCATGAAAACTACTTTTCTGTATCTGGTTGCAATTGATTGGATGAACATGACATATGCATAACAGCAAAATTAACAATGCATTTTTTTAATTTATGCACATTCAGTATAAAAATCTTTTGTAGCTAACATTTGCTTGTAAGTATATATGCTAGAACAGCTACCAAGAAACCCAAAATGCATCTGATATATCTACATTATATATAACAGCTTTCAATGTACATGCTGTAAACATTATACATGTACATGACATGTAAGCAGAATTAATCCTCACCTTATATTTCATACATAGAGAAAAAAAGTGGAAGCTTAAAAAAATAGCAAAATGGCAAACTCTCATCCCCCTTGAATGCCAAAACCGAGTGAAAATTTTCTGAGATTTATATGCATTAAGTTTTGTTTTTAAGATTTTAGCTTAACTTAAAACATTAGTATGTAACAATATCGAAAAAAAACCCAATCTTATATATGTTATAATTGTGACATAACTGACAGAGAGTCACTCACAGTGAGAGGAAGAAATGAAGATGGCTGGGACAGAGTTTTTGTCACTGCTGTTACAAGAACACTGGTTTCTCCTTGCTGAAACAAAATAAGAATAAAACTGTCTGTAATGCAGAAAGTCTGATCAGCAATGAGGACTCTCGTTTAATGAGAATTTTTAGAATACCTTTATAACTGCTGCACCATCTGCAAATTTGGCCAGTTTCCCTGTTTCTATGGTAAGTGTTCTGAACAATAGAAAAGAAAAAATTGTTTGCAGTATTGTCATTGATGTTCAATTGTTCAAGAAATAATGTCACTCACATCACTGCCTAGATTTCTGACTTTCGACCTTTTGATGGACTAAGTCTAAGTATTATTAAAATACATGGATTTGATTCAAAGTTTAGAAATTTAAGTACGTACTAATTCATTGATTAAATTTAAACACTGTTACTCTCTACTAACAGAATAATTCATCATCATATTCATAGAAGATCTCGTACAGTAGTACTGTATGAGATCTTCTATGAACATGATGATGAATTATTCTGTGTAAGATGACTTCTCATTCACTTATATAAATATCAATTCAAAAACAAATTCAGCAAAAATAAACGTCCATTGCTTTAGCACATACACTATACGATTTCACCAGCCAGAATTTTCTCTAAGAAGTAGTTGGTTTTGGCATTCAAGGGGGATGAGAGTTTGCCATTTTGCTATTTTTTTAAGCTTCCACTTTTTTTCTCTATGTATGAAATATAAGGTGAGGATTAATTCTGCTTACATGTCATGTACATGTATAATGTTTACAGCATGTACATTGAAAGCTGTTATATATAATGTAGATATATCAGATGCATTTTGGGTTTCTTGGTAGCTGTTCTAGCATATATACTTACAAGCAAATGTTAGCTACAATAGATTTTTATACTGAATGTGCATAAATTAAAAAAATGCATTGTTAATTTTGCTGTTATGCATATGTCATGTTCATCCAATCAATTGCAACCAGATACAGAAAAGTAGTTTTCATGACTGGAATTTTGTCTAGAAAAATAGTTTCAGATAGAGACATCATCAGGGTCTTAACTTACTGTATGATGCTTGTACATTACAGGTTGATTACAGACTGAAAACAGCAGCAGGTGGGAGGATTCCTATGAACTATTTCCGTCGAGAACGGGGTCCATCAGAGAGCAAAATCCTCACCAGTCATGTTATAGGTAGATAAAGACATCAGAACATCACTCAGAAAAAAGTTATTGATTAGATTGAAAAAAGATAAATTTTGGTGTGAAAGGTTAAAAGCACTCATTAACAATTCTAATTTTGCAGATTGATTAATAAGACCTCTTTTTCCAGATGAAAGCAACAGGGAAATTCAGGTGCATATTGTTTATAATTTGAAATTTTTTAAAGTTTATGTAATTTACTGATAAAGAATATATTTACATTTTATTTATGTTTGGGCCTGAATTTTATTTATTTTTCATGCTTATTGTTCACAATCCTTCTCTAGGTGTGTTGTAATGTATTAGCAGTTGATGGAGAAAATGATCCCGCAATTCTCAGTATCAATGCAGGTACATGTACATCATTCATATTTTCTCCAATCAGCTATTGAATGATTTATATATCATTGTGAAAAAAAGCTGTAGCAAGTCAAAATAGTAAATATGTATGTTCAACTTATTTTCTGAAATGTTAAGGAATAATTCTAATTTTGAAGATGTGAGAATATCTAATTATTTTCATTTTATTGTATATTTCATTTTATTGTATAAGTAAGTAAGTAACTAAGTAATTTATTTATTTATAGTGACATGTGTACATAATTAAATCCTTTGTTTACAAACTGTATAAAATAACAATCAACACCCGGCCCATCGGGCCTATATGCTACTTTAAACACAAAATTGAAATACAATATATAAAGAAAATAAAGAGCACAACGTTAAGAGATCAACAAAAAAGTAAATAAACATAATTGTGATATATATACATGTATATGTATTTTGTATGCTAAGATTGCAAGTGTCTGTTATAAAAGTTATTGGTAGATGAATATGACACTGAAATACATTCTTATTTTCTGAACATAACGGACTGTTTCCACATAAATGAAAAATACAAATACTTTGCAACCTGTCGAGGATGATTTGAAATAAGTATACGTAGTAAATCCACATCTGACCATGCCATTTGATTAAGAAGAGTGTTTTCAAAAAGTTTTGTATATTTCATTTTATTGTATACAGCATCAGCTGCCATAGCCGTGTCTTCTGTACAGTATCAGTGGAATGGTCCTGTAGGTCTGTTGTCCTTTTTAGCTCACCTGAGCCGAAGGCTCAAGTGAGCTTTTCTGATCAAAATTTGTCCGTTGTCTGTCGTCGGCGGCGTCGTCGTCGGCGTCGTTGTTGTCGTAAACTTTTCACATTTTCATCTTCTTCTCCAGAACTACTGGGCCAATTTCAATCAAACTTGGCACAAAGTATCCTTGGGTGAAGGGGTTTCAAGTTTGTTCAAATGAAGGGCCACGCCCTCCTCCAAGGGGAGATAATTACGAAATAGCAAAAAATTAATGGCATTATTGAAAAATCTTCTTCTCAAGAACCAGTGGGCCAGGAAAGATGAAACTCATGTGGAATTATTGTCAGGTAGTGTAGATTCAAGTTTGTTCAAATCATGACCCCCGGGGATAGGGTGGGGCCACAATGGACGATCAAAGTTTTACATAGGAATATATAGGAAAAATCTTCAAAAATCTTCTTCTCAAGAACAGCAAAGCTATGATTGGTCATATTTATTTGGAAGCATCCACAGGTGGTGTAGATTCAAGTTTGTACAAATCATGACCCCCGGGGGTAGGGTGGGGCCACATTGGACGATCAAAGTTTTACATAGGTCTGGAATATATAGGAAAAATCTTCAAAAATCTTCTTCTCAAGAACAGCAAAGCTATGATTGGTCATATTTATATGGAAGCATCCTCAGGTGGTGTAGATTCAAGTTTGTTCAAATCATGACCCCCGGGGGTAGGGTGGGGCCAAAATGGACGATCAATTAACATACATGTAGGTGTACATAGGAAAAATCTTCAAAAATCTTCTTCTCAAGAACAGCAAAGCTATGATTGGTCATATTTATTTGGAAGCATCCTCAGGTGGTGTAGATTCAAGTTTGTTCAAATCATGACCCCCGGGGTTGGGTGGGGCCACATTGGACGATCAAAGTTTTACATAGGAATATATAGGAAAAATCTTTAAAAATCTCAAGAACAGCAGAGCCACGGTTTGTCATATTTATACGGAAGCATCCTCATATAGTGTAGATTCAAGTTTGTTCAAATCATGACCCCCCCCCCCCCCCACTCCCTTTTTAGGGGTAGGTTGGGACCACTTATGCATTTAAGCTTTTCAATACTAAACTGATTTTTCCTTTTTTCCTAGCCACAGTGCTCAGGTGAGCGATGTGGCCCTTGGGCCTCTTGTTATGTATTTATCGTCAAATTCTTATTCATGCTGGAAAAATTATAGATTTACATAGTGTACATGTATATTTGTATAGGTATATGTACTTATAGATTGCCGATGCATTTGTCTTTTTTGAGGTCAGATTTTAAAAATTTATCCACTATTTACCAATCATACAGTATTTTAAACAGTGCTTTTCTTGATTTTTTCTCTTAATATCATTTTTAAGGTCAAGGCTATATTGGATTTTGTTTTTTAAAGTCTTAACTGATATAATTGATTTTTTTTCAACTTGTGACAATACGTTGTATTTCCACTATGGAAAAGTTATACTTCTTAGTGCGCTCTTTTGTGAAAAAGTCAGAAAATGTACAAATCTCGCGGGATTACTGGGACAAACATAACATAAACATGTAAACAATATGTTGAATGTCGATGAACAATTCCTAAGAAAATGCAAATGAAATATTTTATTGTTGTGCACTTTATATACATCAAGAGTAGGAATGACAACGATATCAATTTATATCTATTGTTGATCGTAGGTATCTATTTATCGTATGGTACATCTAAATACAATACACATGCCTCGGAAATGTCGTATTTTTTATTAATGGATGATAAATTTAGGGTTCTCACTCTCTTACATATGTCTTTTAGTTCTTCTACTCTTAATTGGAATGACAAATACATTTAACATTTAAAATTGGATTGAGATTGGCATGTTTTGTATTATCCGCAACGCCATGCTGTCCCAGTCAGACGACCAAACGTGCCTCTAATTTTGAAGAGTTCACTAATGGAAATAAAACATTTTAAAATGGACATACAGGTAAACATGTACATAATATTGTGGAAGTGTGTCTTGTTTTCACTTACATGTATGTTGTCCCTATTACTCTTCTGTATCTCTAAGGTCAAGGTCATTAAGATTCTTATATTGCAATCTTTTTTGAGTGCTTGCTTTTATTTATATCTTTTTTCATGCAGGGGCTGTCAGGGTTGGATATGTAGATGATAAATTTGTAATAAATCCACTTCGACGTGAGCTGGAGCAGAGTAAAATCAACCTAGTGGTCACATCCATTAAAGAAGGAATAGGTAAACATCCTATAATGACATTCAACGACAAAAACCTTAGCTGGAGACCTCATATCTAATCCCAGTAAACAGGGAATAGGTAATCATCCTATAACGCCATTCAACAACAAAAACCTTAGCTAGAGACCTCATATCTAATCCCAGTAAACAGGGAATAGGTAAATACTAGTACAGTGACATTCAGCTACAAAAACCTTAGCTAGAGACCTCATATCTAATCCCAGTAAACAAGGAATAGGTAAACATCCTATAACGACATTCAACACCAAAAACCTTAGCTAGAGACCTCATATCTAATCCCAGTAAACAGGGAATAGGTAATCATCCTATAATGCCATTCAACAACAAAAACCTTAGCTAGAGACCTCATATCTAATCCCAGTAAACAGGGAATAGGTAAACACTCTTTCACTGACATCCTTAGCTAGGGACCTCATCTCTAATCCAGTTAACAAAGAATAGGTAAACACTCTTACAATGACATTTAGCTAGTAAAACATTAGCAAGGGACCTCATCTCTAATCCAGTAAACAAAGAATAGATAAACACTCTTACAATGACATTTAGCAAGAAGATATTAGCTAGGGACCTCATTTCTAATCCAGTAAACAATGAATAGGTAAACAGTAAACACTCTCACAATGACAAGAAACAACACAAATCTAAACTTGGGAGCTCATGTTTACCTTAATTAAATGAGGAATATGTAAACCCTCTGACAATGGCATTAAGGTATAAAAACATGATTAGGTTAACACTCTTATAATGACAGTAAACAATGCAGACATTATCTAGAGGTAGGGCCTTCAAGGTAACATCTAGTAAACAAGGATTGTTTGTTTGTTTGTTTAACATCCCTTTTGAGAAAGGGATAACTTTTGAGAATTTTTCACTCATATTGCAGCACCACTACTTGCCGGTGAACTGTATATCATTCTTAAACATTTAAAAGTGTTTTTGGTGTGTTTTGATTAACATTATTGTGGATAAAAAAATCTTAAATGATATTAATTTTGATAATTATGCTGGAGGGAGGATCCAACTCAGTGGATTACAATTTGTTTAAGGAAGCCATTAAAGTTGGTTACGAAGAGTCTTTTAATATCATCGAAAGTATAGAGGATCTGAGAAATTCAGCCAGTGAAAATAAGTATATTCCTAAACGTCTGCCTCCAAGATTTCAGGTTACAGAAATTCAGGATGCTGTGTACAGGTATTAATTGCAGGGTTCATGAAGAGAGAGAATTGAAAACTTGTCAGTGTTTTTCTCCTATATTTTAAAAGCAGCCATTTTTATCTATTTTGCGAAGAATTTTTCCCAGGGAAATCTTAAAAACAATTTGGTAAAAGAAATTGTCTCTACTTGGCTGTGCTTTTGAAAGATGCTGTTTAAAGGAACTTTTTTTGTATTTTTTAGGTTGTGCAACACAAAGTTGACAGTGGTGTTTATGGATTACAACCATGGCAAGGTAGCATGAAATTTTCGTGAAAAACACCCAACCTATGCACAGGAGATAGAAATTTATAAGTTTATTTAAAGGCCATTTTTAATTAGGTCAGTTTTAATTGAAATTTAATCATTAATTACATGTCTGTAGATGGTAAACTCCCAAAAGGGAGACTACTCTGAAATTCTGAAAATAATGATGTTATTAGATATTGATCCAAAGGAAGTATGCCCATTTATACTGTTTTTTATTTGGTCAAATATGATTTAAAAAAAAAAAAAACACACATTTGTTAAAAAGTACTATTACCCCACTCGTGCTTAAATCATGCCCTCCAGGTAACATTACCTTTCAACAGTTGAAAATGCATGACAGCAGGTAATGGTATAAAAATTGTTAACTGCACAAAATGTTTGTGCATATGGTTCACATTGATGTTTTCATTTAAATGCATTTTAAATACATTCAGTATAACAAAAAATATATTGCATGTTTTTTTAGGGTAACGTGAAGTTGTTATCCCATGAAAACCTCGGTCAACAATGGTTTCTGCAGGATAACAATTTAGGTTACCCTAAAAACATGGAATATTTTTAGAGTTACACACATATTCAATTAAGCAATGAAAAAAACCTTATTGGTCTGGAATATCTGATAAGTTAAAAAGTCATAAAAAATGTTATTCAGAACTAAAAGTATATAGAAAACATTTGTATTAGATTAATTTTACATTTGTACACATTTATTTTTTTTTTCAGTTTTCAAGAGATTCAGCTGTGAAACTTATTGTCAGTGGTGTGATGAATGAATTACAAGAGGCCCATGGGCCTTGAATCGCTCTTCTGATAAACTGTACAACCTATCACTTCTATTTGAAGCCTCGAAGTATCCTGTATATTTGCATAAACCCTTGAAATTCCAATTCACACTCTGAGAACCCAAGATGATTCTAAGCCAATTAGTACCTGAGAGTTGGTCATGGTGACCTACTTATCACTTGTCATTCTCTGAGGACCCATCAACTTAGTTTGATGATTCTAAGCCAATTAATACCTAAAATATTTTTTAAAATTATAATCATAAAATTTCATAAGTGGGTCAAAGTGACCTACTTTTCAATTGTTTTACTCCAAGGACCCAAGATGCATCAACTGACAAAGTTTGATGATTCTAAGCCAATTAGTACCTGTAATATTTAATTAAAGCCATAAATTTTCAAAAGTAGGTCACCGTGACCTACTTTTCAGTTGCTGTACTCCGAGGACCAAAGATACATCGACTGACAAAATTTGATGATTCTAGCCAATAAGTACCCAAAATATTTAATTACAGCCATAAATTTTCAAAAGTAGGTCACAGTGACCTACTTTTCAGTCAACCTACTCCGAGGACCAAAGATGCATCAACTGACAAATTTTGATGATTCTAAGCCAAATAATTCCTGAAAATATTAAATACAGCCATAAAATTTCAAAAGTAGGTCACCGTGACCTACTTTTCAGTTGTTGTACTCCGAGGACCCAAGACGCATCAACTGACAAAGTTTAATGATTCTAAACCAATTAGTACCCGAAATATTTGATTAAAGCCATAAATTTTCAAAAGTAGGTCACTGTGACCTACTTTTCAGTTGTTGTACTCCAAGGACCCATGACGCATAAACTGAAAAGTTTTATGATTCTAAGCCAATTAGTACCCGAAATATTTAATTAAAGCCATAAATTTTCAGAAAGTAGGTCACGGTGACCTACTTTTTAGTCGACCTACTCCGAAGACCCATGACGCATCAACTGACAAAGTTTGATGATTGTAAGCCAATTAGTACCCGAAATATTTAATTAAAGCCATAAATTTTCAAAAGTAGGTCACCGTGACCTACTTTTCAGTTGTTGTACTCCGAGGACCCATGACGCATCAACTGACAAAGTTTGATGATTCTAAGCCAATTAGTACCTGAAATATTTAATTATAGTCATATAAATTGAAAAGTAGGTCACGGTGACCTACTTTTCAGTTGACCTTTTTTGAGGACCCAAGATGCATCAACTTACAAAGTTTTATGATCATAGGACTTAAAATGTCCAAATTATGCTTCTAAAACGCTTTGAAATCAAATGCCTGCAAAGTTCAAAAAGTAGGTCACTGTGACCTACTTTTTAATAAATATGTTTTATGGCCCCAAGAGGCATCATCTTACAAGATTTAATGATTCTAAGCCTCCCCGTATTCGAATTAATGACCTTAATTGTTTTAAAAAAGATTAGCCATAAAATTCAAAAAGTAGGTCAAGGTGACCTACTTTTTAAGTGACGTACTTTGACGACCCAAGATGCATCAACTGACAAAGTTTGATGATCATAGGCCTTAAATTGTTCAAAATATGCCTCTAAATCATTATGAAAAAGAATGGCCGCAAAATTTGAAAAGTAGGTCACCGTGACCTACTTTTGAGTCAACTTGATATGAGGTCCTTAGATGCACCAACTGACAAGATTTGATGATCCTAGTCCTTATAGTAAGCAAAATATCAACATTTTAATAAAATGTAATTTTTGGTCAACTTTAAAGTGACCTTGAGACCACGCCCTTTGCCCCAGGGTAAATCCCCGTGCAAATTTTAATCTACAACATATCCTCATCCTTTTGTGTAAGTTTGGTGATAATCTGCTCAGTGGTTCTTGAGAAGAAGATTTTTTAGCAACCATTACTTTTGTTTCTATTTTCCTAATTATCTCCCCTTGTTAAAGGGTCACAACCCCAGTTTTAGTATAAAAGGGAGCCCTTGGGCCAAGGATACCCTGTGACAAATTTGACAATAATTGGCCAAGGGGTTCATGAGTTATGGCCCATATTCTAAAAAGTTTACGCACACCGCACAAATGGCCATAGCATTAGCTCTTTGAGCCTTTGGCTCAGAAGAGCTAAAAAGGTGGGTCAGATAGTCTTACAGAAAATATTATTTCAGCTTAATAGAGAGTAGTGAAAGGACAAATGCACTTAAGCAATGCTTAATGGGTCCTTTTTCAGTGCCGTTTGTTTTGGAATATACTACCAAATGGGTTTTTTTGTAATAGTTAAACACAAGTGGATATTTCTAATTAAAATCACGTTAAAACATCACCTAAATCAGCATGGATTTGAAACAAATGAAGATTTTTAAATGCCTATAGATACCCCAAATCCGGAAAAGTTGTACCGAACCTATTTTGAGTTTCATTCATTTAAATCAAGAGGAGGAGACATTTAAATCGGACACTTGAACAATCTGATGGTGGATCATTGACGGGCGTGTTTTCCGAATGATAATCTTGCACTATTTTACCTGAGAAAAAATCAAATGAAGTTTTATAGATGCCTCGTGCCATAGTGATCAAACTAAGAAATTTGCACGCTTGCATTTGAAATAATACAATAAATATTTTGATTCAAAACATTAATTCTTTGAATTTTTAAAATGAAAAAAAGTGTACTTAGGTGGCTTTCATTACCGGTACCATTGTCTTGCAAGAATGTTCAAAATGTTTGATGCTTTCATGGGTGATGACATATTAACGACACTAAACTCTCCTAACCCATCCGTGTTCATAAAACCTAATACATACAAATTTCTCTATGTGGCACGACTTCGATGTAATGATACAAAACGTGGCTATCTTTTACAGTGAGCATTTGAGGAATGTTTACCTGAGTAGAACTCACGTGACTACCGGTATTTTAAATAATTTATTCCACGGGTGGGTTCAACAAAGGTCAAACAGGTAAATAGCTCTCGCTTGCTATAGGAAAAACATTGGACTTTTCATACATTTTTAGTATTTTAAGTACAAGATTAATCTTGTACAAATTTCCTACTTTCACACAAGTTTTATAAGATAATGTATAATGCGTTTTTTGTCATTCGCACAAGTTTGTACAACGTTAGGCTGACAGTAAACAAAAGCTTTGAAATGAATGACGGTCCTCGATTTACTATAGAAAATCACAAATGTCCGCTGACCTCTACCACATTGTAAGGCTTTGCTCTTTGTATATTCATGAATTCCACTGATAAAATTTGTTGAATCTTATGGTTTAAATACCAATTAATGATCTGAGATGAAAAATTATGCTTAATTTGGTTCTTCATTTTTTCACATTTTACCGGGGCCTGTAAGTGCACTCGTTCTTTCAAAATGTCAGTGTTCCACAGAGCAGGGGATTTAAATTTGTTCAAATGAAGAGCCACACTCTCTAAGCAAATATGCCTGTCATTGCAAAATATTTACAAATATGCTTTAATTAATTGAACAGTCAGGTAATCACTGCCCCTCAGGACCTGACATGCATTGTTACTTAACTTTTTACACATAGGGTCATCATGACCTTTCCTTGGTGCCAGCTTTACAATAGACAACAGCTGTATGATTTTCATTACATTTATTAAAGACTTGAACAAAAGCATATACAATCTTGCATTATTCATAACTGTGATGGACATAAGGGAATTGGCATTAAATGGCTGCATTGCATAAAATGTGCAATCAAGAATTAGGGTCCAGAAGGGATAGCTGTCATATCGACTAATAAGTACCGGGCAAAACCAGTGGCCCTGTGTTGGTCAGAGATGCCTGAGATCCCAAATTTAGGTACTAGACATTTGGGACCGAGAGAGCTGCAAGCACATCTGTATACCCTGCTTCCGGTGATTGCTACTGGTCAGCAGTACTTTTACACCCAAGTACTTCAGTACTAATATAAGCCTCCCCTCTTGTTACAAGAGGTGGAGGGGAGCAGACTTGGCTACGACCCCAATCGAAAACTTCTTACCTGACTTTTACTTGACTTTTATTACACATTGCCATAGGTTGAATACTTTGTAGACAACCTGTCTACCCAACAATGTGCCCACCAACTTGTCTGATGGCTGGGCAGGGAAACAACGAGCCAGATGTGTTCACAACCCTCCCACTCATCCCTCCGGACCCTCCCCCCTTAAATACAATGCAACAAGGGTTTTGAAAAAGTCTTAAAGTATTGTGGCTATTAAAATAGACTATAAGATAGACATGTTAACCACTGTCCTTATAAGTTAGTTTAATCACAAGTTCTGGACTGGTTTTTGTGCACAATATTGGATTGGCTGTCCTTTCTCTGCATCAATCCCTATGAGCTGGATTTCCTGCTGGTACATGTTTGTTGTCGAATATCTGAAAAAAGCAAAAGATCTGACAGCAGATTACTGCAATTTGGTGATATTTTCATTAGCCGATGATTGCACTGGCTAATGACGGATAACTCTTTAATGTTGATGATAGGTTTGGAATAATTTGATAGAATTTTCTTAAAGTTTTTGGGGATATGCCTGTCATTGCAAAATATTTACAAATATGCTTTAATTAATTATTTTTTCTGTAAGTTTTAGAGATAAAACCATTTAATTTTTCTCTGTTGTAGATCTTTATCCATCCATGACAGAAGATGATTTAAACCAGTACATACAGAGGTGTATTAAACAAATCTTCAGGAAGAGTATCTTTACTACAGGGAAAAGGTATTTTGTTTAAACAGTTTTTCAATCCATTTGAACTTCTGTATATTGAAAATCAAAATCTTCACTATTCTACATATAAAAAGAAATTGTACATACCGGTACCTGAATCACTTTTAAAAAATGTTAATATATGGGGGCCAAAATTGACTCTAATCATAAATAGTCCTTTGTTCAAATGAAGAGCAACACCCTCTTCTAAGGGGAGATAATTAAGAAATAGTGAAAATTGGGTTATGTGATTTGAATATATACTTCTCACGAAGCAATGGGCCAGAAAATATGAAACTTGTGTGAAATTTTTCT